ACCTCCTGCCCCGAGGCTCGGCATCTTCCCCGCAGGTTTGGAGAGGACAGCAGGAGTAGGCTGCTGTCTTCTTGGTTATACAGCCAAGACTTCCCTGAAATTACAGCAGTATAGGTAAATTCCACTGGAATTTGCACACAGAAGGACGTCAGCAGCCTCCCTGCTCGAAGTTACATGTGTCTATCAACCTCTTTGCAAGATCTCAGCTCAGAAATAGGATTTAACAAGACCTTCCTTCGCAACACAGAGGAATCACGTTGATGCAGAAATCAGGAGACATCGGAACAGGCCATTTCTCTTACAGAACACAATTTATTTGGCATTTGGATGAAATGTTTCTCACAGCATCTTGAGAAAAAAAAGAAAGATTAGTGCCAACCCCAAAGAAAGAAGTTAAAACAAAAAACCAGTGTCACAGGGACTGAATTATCATAGTATCAAATTTAAATTCTACACGGTATTTCACAGAATATCAAAATCTTTTATACACTGCCACAGTTAAGTCCAGTCACAAACCAACTACACAGGAGAAGCCTGCAAATGCAGCGTTGGCTAAAATTGTTTCCCAGGAGAAGTTAAAAGCAGTGTCTCCTCCTCCTCTCCCGCAGCCTCCCAGGCACCCACCGGCCCAGCACTCGGGGTGCGGCGCGGCCACGCAGGCAGCCTGCAAGCACGGCACCTCCGCTGGCATCGACTCCGACCCACTCAACGTTCAAGGTGCACAATCCCGGAAAATTAAAGCTATGTCGTACCGCAGCAGGCAGGTAATGCAGGCTGGTGTTAAGGGAGGCAGAACTCTACTGCCGAAAGCGTCTGTTCCCAAGAAATGGGAATAGACCTGGAACGGGGAAACGTCAGAAGCAGAGTGTATTGAACTTTGATTTGCCTCCTCTACACTAATCTGCTCTAATTTTAGGGTCCAGCTCCCAATTTGCAAGGGAAATTTAAAAGACATTTTTGCATATTGCATATTCCTTAGCTGGGGGGGGACAAAAAAAAAAGTTTCGGCAACTGGAAAACAAACAAAAAAAAAAAGACGCGTTATGGATTGTGTGAGGCAACACTAAAACTTCAGTGCTTTGCCACTGAAAACCCACATCTGCAAGATAAAACCATCTTTAAAAACAGCTTCAAATTTGTTTAACGTTAGATAGGAAAAGAACAGTAATTACTGGTCACAAAAACATTTTCTTCCCAAGCGAAACTCAAAAGACACGTGAAGAGGGCATCACCCCCCGACACCCGTGGAGGCAGAGCACCCACCGACTGTCGGATTAAGCCTTCAGAAAAAATTTTCCACCTACTTCATTCTTCTTCTAGGTCAGTGTCCTGCTACGAATGGGGACAGGAACAGTCTGAGGCTCAAAAGTAGACAAGACCGAACACGAAGCAGACGAGTTCTCTGTACATGAGTGACAGCTTTGACCTTCTAGCACAGAATGAAACCCACCGTCCTTCTACCATTACAACACTCTACAACTCACCTAGTAAAAAAAAAATAAAAAAAATCAGAGGCTGCTGTGAGACTGCGTATGGGTATCACCAGTAATACCGACAGAAGTGACTATCTAGGGCTGTTGTTGAAGGAACAGCAGAGCCCTCAACACGGCACCACAGTCCGTCGTAAGGATGGGGAATCTGAGGAGCAGGTTTCTCCAAGGCCACAACGGGAGGTGCGAGCCCCGTGCAGAACTGAGAGCGGCGACTTTACGACGACTGCGGTCAAGGACATCCAGAGAGAAATGCACGCTCTGCTCACGCGTGCTGCTGGGAATGGTAATGCCATCTCCCCCATGGGGTCTGGAGGGACATTTGGGATGCACCAGTAGTTAAGAAAAACATCCGGAGAAGTGAACGGCAGTGGGAAGAAAAAAAAAAAAAAAAATCAGTGCACAAAACTCCGAAGATCTCATCAATCTAATGGCAATCAAAAAGGAAAGGTCTTCCTCAGGCAAGCGTCACACCTCTGTAGTTGGTGCTCAGGACAAACTGCTTACCAGTCACCTTGCCAAGGGCGAGGAAGGTTTGCTGAGGAGTCAACTGCTGTCAAAAAAACTTAACTTCCCCAGTTGGTCCAGAAGTCTGAGTAGCTGTGACGCCTTCTGCTACAAAGGCTCTTCTCCAAGAGAAAGTACTCAGTGTGAAAAAGCTACGTTAAGAAGGGAAAAAAAAAAATGACAATTTTATTGCCAAATTGGAAGCTCACCGAGAGGTAAATGAGCTGTACTTGGTGAGCTGCTCTGTTCAAGGCAAAATTTCCTTTGCTTACACTGAAGCTGAAGAAGGATAGGTGAAAAGAGAGAAGATAGCAGCCTCCGTGCCAGTATACAAGTGGGAAAGGCTCAGAAGCAATGGGGAAAATACCACACCAAGGCTTCTACAAAGAAGCCTCTGCTTGGAACAGCTACAACCAGGAGCCACCATGAAGTTGCCAGTTGTAACAGAGCTTATTTTCAAATAAAATTCACCACAGAACCAAAAGTAAAATAGAAAAGTATCAAACAGATTCCCGCAGTGTTAGGAGAAGCGCGAGGTGAAGTATCTGTTCACCTCAGCCACAAAACAGCTTCAGAGACTAAACCAAGCCAAGAGGCTTTTTGTTATTGCGCTAGGATACTACAAACAACAAATATTCCATCTGGCTTCAAAAGAAATTGGAAGTTTTCTATTCTGCACTGCTAACAAAATATTTTTCAGAAACAGATTGTAGTAGCATGGACTTTGCATCCTACTTAAGTGTACACTATTACAGCCTGTCCTACAACGGAGTGTAGCCAGCTCGAGAGAAGTGTTAACCCTAAGAGCCTAGTTTATATCCCAGCGCTTAGCTTCACCTAGCTGGACGCAGCACAAAGGTTACCGTCTACAGTATGTGTATATATATATCTCTATATATATATCTCGCTGCCCAGAAACACACACACACACACACACGCATTCGTACCTATAAAACTAAAGAAAAATCAGTACATACAATGTATAAAACGTATGAATGTGCTCAAAAATGCACAAAACCCGCTTTATTTTCATACTTCAGAAATGCTCAGTAATTTGTACGCATGGTTCTAACTACTGCTATCCCACCCACTTCATTAGACCAGGACTTGGACTCGGAGGAGGAGACGGGAAGAGATCCCACAGGGTGGAGAATTGCTCCTCTCGTTTCGTACTGCTGCTGTTAGAGCCAGCCAAACCAGAGAGCAGGACGCGGGCGGTGGTACGGCTCCGGGCGGAGAGGCTTCCTAACAGTGCTTCCTCCCACTCGTGTGCCAGCAGTGCACCCCAGAACTGTGATTCACGCTCTCCGATGGATTCAAGATTGTTAGCGAGTGTCTGAATGTCAAGCCACCAGATATGATCTCAATAATGAAACTCACAGTTTTCCGTGCAAAAGGAGTTGAATTGTCGAGACCAATCCCCAAGTACAGTATAAGCCTATAGGCAAGACACAGAATAGAAAGTAGCAGCATATTCATTGGGGAAAGA